ACTCAGTGGGCTGTGTCTGTGGGTTAATTTACTCGTCGAGCCCTTCGTTGCAAGCGACGGGTTCGACGAGAACAATGACCGGTGCTTGAGGTACTTACCTAAAAGCACCGTTAGTGGATCGGTGATCGACCACAACTATACTCCATTGATCAGTTGAATATCGTCGATTGATCTTAAGCTTCGCGATAACTTCACGTCAACTCAACCAGATGTTCTTTTTAGCGTTAATAATAAAGAAAGCCCATTTGCTATCTATTTGCTGGTAACTAGTAGGTAGGTTGAAGTCGTCGTGGCCTAAAGGATAAGACGTCCGGTGCATTCGTATCTAGCGATGCAACGGTGTTCGAATCCTGCAGACGAGAACCAATTTCTCTAATGAAATATTTGAAAAATGTTCACGATTGACTTCCACGGTGAAGGAATTATATTGTGTGATAAAAATCAAACCCGCAAAATTATAATTTGCATAATAACTGATAGTAGGGCATCTTGCAAGTACGTACGAATAGGTACCCCGCCACCCCGCCTATTTCTGCCGTGAAACAGTAAATGCATTTCGGTTTAAAAGGCAGTTTGGGCTCCAATAACCACTTAACACCAATTGGGTTGTGAGCCATCCAACCATCTAAACAATTTAAAAAAAGTACACTAAAATCTAACATTCTAAGGTGACCAGAATTCCAATATACACAACAGATGGTATGGAAGCCCATCGAAATCAGCACTTCAAAATTAAGTCTTATTTTTATAGATTTTATTATAACAAGGCACTCACTCAGCGTCTAACCAAATAGTAATTTTGGACAAACCTGCCAGCTTTGTACACTTTCAGGTTTATTTACTACAATGACGTCTGTCCTTGGTTTTCGAGTGCATTGCTTGCTTGAATACAAGATTTTAATTATAATGTAACTAGATGAGTATTACATAATAAAAATCCCGTATGAAATCAGTGAAGTTTCGATAAGCCAAATAAAGTAGTTTTAACGTTGTTCCAATTTTATTCCCCTGATATATTCCTTCGAGTCCAGCCCTGTAGCCGACCTCAACGTGATATAGTGTGTTATGATAGGCCGTAATGAGTTTACTTTTCTTGTTGGGCACCGTTTGTAATTTATTTTAAGGCTTACGGTCGTTAGGTTCGTGCTATTTGCCAGCAGTTCACGTGAAATAGCGAGATTTTTGTTACGTTTTGAACGAATGAAAGCAAAATGTAATTCGTGCGTTAATGTCGAATGATTTTCGCGCATCGCATTTCGATTTGAGCTTCAAACTAAAAAATACTGGTTTTAAGGAGTGTTGTAATTGTATACGAGTTAGTGCCACCCCTAATACAAACTCTTATGCCTTACTGTACTATAAAAGTGAGAGCTTCGAACTCATATCTAAAAGTGGGTGGGGGAATTTAAGTTATATATGTCTATTGACTCCGATAACCACTAAAGACCAGGTGGACCGTGAGCTCGTCCACTCATCTAAGCAGTAAAATAAAGCTAACGCATGTTTTGAGGCTTAGAATTGCTGTCCAGTTTGATCAAGACTGCCATTTTAGTTCTCAGAAAAAACTGCGTCCATCACGCCGAGCATACCTTGAACTTTGGCTAAATACAAAATCACAAGTAGATTTTACTTTTAAAGCCTTGTTGCCCTATTTAATCGTCTTATCTGTTAATTTACATAATATGGGCAAAGATAAACAGTTAAATATCCTGGCGCCTCTTGGTCAACCAATTTTTTTTTGTGTATTTTGTGAATATCATAAATAAATATATTTGAAAAGCAATTTTGTTCCCCTCACCTTAAGAAGAAAATTGTTATTAACAAAACAAAAGAAATACGTAACCATAAGATAAACTTAAGACTTGAGTTGAGTGTTCTTCGAACTTCGCCACTGGGTTAGCGTTCCCAATTTTCACCACTGATCCCCATAGACTTCAAACGTCACAGCCTCATACGATAATACCTAGTAGTGTATACTGTGTCTACTATCTTCTTCACATAAATTTAATTTATTTCTACGATGTTATTTATGCCTTTTTTTATTGCTTAGACTGGTGAAAGAGCTCCCGCCACTCCCGCTACCTTGGTGTTAATTTATATCTACGAACCTTATTTTATTTATGCCTCTTTTTATTGCTTAGACCGGTGAAAGAGCTCTCGCCACTCTGGTGTTAAAGGGCTACCGGAGCCCATTGACATCTACAACGTAACTGCCGACACACTTTGTGATACGACTTCTAAGTCTCAGTTCTATTGTACAACGGCTGTCACACTCTTAAAACCGGTACGCATTACTGCTTCACGGCAAAAGTAGGTTAGGTTAGGTGGTATTAACTTTGCGGGCGTGAAAACGCCCTACCACCAGTAAATACCACATCCATACTACCTGGAGCCACTGCGTTGATCCACAGTGCGTTTCCAGAGATCTTTTTTGCCACGTACCATGCGGCTTTGGAATGGGCTCCCCTCCACGGTGTTTCCTGAACGCTATGACATGTCCTTCTTCAATCGAGGCTTGTTGAGAGTACTTAACAGTAGGCAGCGGCTTGGCTCTGCCCTGGCATTGCTGAAGTCCATGGGCGACGTTAACCAATCACCATTAGGTGGGTCGTATGGTCGTTTGCCTACAAGGGCTATAAAAATTTAAAAAATACATTACAAGTTCCCATTATTTAGTTGTGAATGTTAATCGAATAGATAAATAAATCGCCTCTATTAGTACACGATATCGGCGACGCCAGTTTAAATATACATTTCTCGGGATGGCCTTGTTCTACTTTTCAAGTTTTAGCTAATCAGCAAAGACGTTATCTATATATTAATACGTGAAGCAAAAACTTTGTATCCCTTTTTACGAAAATTGCGCGGACGGAGGAGTATGAAATTGTCCATACTTATAGAGAATGTAGAGAAGAAGTGCACAATGCTAATATTTTTTTAAAATAATGCATAAAAGGTACATTAAATCAATAAAGAAAACATTACACACACTACATACCATGTATTTGACGCAGACACGCATGCATACTATTTATTGTCAAACTTTTGTTATTGACGTCTGTAGTCAAATTGAGAATAGATTAAATATTGTTTGTCTTTATTAATATTTTTTATAGTGTAGTCTTGGCGTTTGTGATTATAGAAGTACAATCATAAAATACAATCATAATAGTGTACAAACTTACAATTCCAATTAATTATAGTCGAATTTCGACTACTGCGGGACCTCTAGTGTCATTTAAACTATACCAATTCGCATCTAGACGCTTGGTTCTTAGTAAATGGACAGATGCGGATAATAGTACTAAAGACAACAAGGTGTACTCAAGCCGCCCAAACCCTGAACGAACTAATTTATCGGAATATCGTTTTTAAAATCAAACTAAATTTAATCAATCGTTCGTGATCAAGAAAACTGAAACGCATCTGTAAATTGGGAATTCATATAATGACTGTTTACGCATATACTCCTCTTTTTTCGAAGTCGGTTAAGACGAAGTCGTCGCGGCGAAGGAGTTCGTAACAATCTTCACTTCTCAACGTCACTTATTAGCTACAACGACGAGCAAACTATACCAGTTTTTTCCTATATTATTTCTAAATTTCATTGTTTTCCTTAATAAAAAGCTGTAATATCATATTATACGAAACATACCTTAATATATACACATACATGCAAAAAACAATTATTTGCTGAAGAGCAATCTATAGTGCTATCCTCCTCTATATAAGAGGAGATACGGGCAGGAATCACAGTCATTAATAATGAGTGTAATAAATGCGAGATTAAATCGCTAAATTAGTTTTGATTATAGCTACGACTCAAAAGCATCGATGAAAATACTAAGCACTAAATTTAAGCTTAGTATTTAACATGATTTCTGAACAAACATACCAGCTTCGAATGAAAATTCATCTATTTTGACGCTTTAGCGATTTCACATCTTAACATTTGATGGGTTTTTTTTTATTGCTTAGTCGGGTGAACGAGCTCACAGCCCACCTGGTGTTAAGTGGTTACTGGAGCCCATAGACATCCACAACGTAAATGCGCCACCCACCTTGAGATATAAGTTCTAAGGTCTCAAGTATAGTTACAACGGCTGCCCCGCCCTTCAAACTGAAACGCATTACTGCTTCACGGCAGAAACAGGCAAGGTGGTGGTACCCACCCACGCGGACACAAAAGGTCCTACCACCAGTAATTACCCAAATTATAATTTGCGGATTTCATTTTTATTACACGATGTTATTCCTTCACCGTGGAAATCAATCGTGAACATTTGTTGAGTACGTATTTAATTAGAAAAATTGGTACCCGCCTGAGATTCGAACACCGGTGGATCGCTCAACACGAATGCACCGGACATCTTATCCGTTAGGCCACGACGACTTCCCTGTATCGCGGGCTTAGCGGGGTGGTAGAGCTAACATTGTTATTTGTATTTTGACATTCAACAAGTGTGTCATACTGACATCTAAATTGAAATAAATGATTTTGTATTTGAATTTGAATTAGTCCTTCTCTAATCAGCAATAAAGAAAAATTTTCTCCCAGAATAAGTGTGAAGCAGTAAACTAAAATACAATAAAAGCTCCTTATTTGCGCTTTCTTAATTCGATTTACTATTAAAAAATTGCGACCCATTTCCTATATTCGCGGCTAAAGATTTCTCATATTCGCAGATCTAATCGGTACACCGATACATATACATTGATAAAAAGGATTCCAATATGTATTTATTCAACCGATTATCCTTTGTAAACGCACTTTTCCATATTCACGGTTTCTGTATTCTTATTTTTATATTGTTTCCATTGGTAGACGAGCTCACAGCTCACCTGGTGTTAAGTGGTTACTGGAGCCCATAGACATCTACGACGTAAAAACCGCCACCCACCTCGAGACATCACTTCTTAGGTCTCTGTTTTTACAGCATTCGCGGCATATTTAACGCGCGAATAAGAGCTTTTACTGTATCTCAATGGTCTGTGGCTACCTTCAAATCACCTGGAACTATCTCCAGAACGCCATGACAAGGTGTCGCGGCGCATGTGCTGCCTTCCCGTACAATACTCTTTACATCCTATTGACGATAAACCTGTAACAAAGAATAAAAAAAACATATTAATAGTGTTGTAAAACCTTTATTATTTATTGTTATAGTCTAATCAACAAATTCAAAAACGTGAAAAATAGAGGTAAAGGTCCTAAAAATATGAGCGATAGGTCATTGGATTCAGAATCACCTCAAAAAATGTTTTTGCAGGATTTAAAAAAATTGCAATTTTTGTTAACAAAATAAGATCGAAAAAAAAAGATATTTAGATTTTCGTTAATAACTCGAAAAATATTTATATTTGAGGAATTTAGTAAAAATCTGGTTACAAAGGAGGAAATTTCCGATAAAAAAGTCCCGACTTCCGGAACTCTATCTCTATTATTTATAATTTTAATTTACACCAGGTGGGCTGAGGGCTCGTCCAACCGTCTAAGCGGTAAAAAAAATATTGATTTTTTTTTATCGGGGCATAGATGTATCACCACATAAATGTCCACCCCATGATATGAGATCGAAGCGAGATATCGATTGATGCAATTGCATTATATAACGGTCGTCCCACTCCTCGAATCATAACGCAAGACTGCTTCACACCAGATATTAGCCAGATATAGGAGTATTTGGCGAATTTATTTAATACCATTAAGCATTAAGTGCAGTACGTTAGTATAATGCGTAATAAGTATAATTTAACGGAAAACAGCGGCTTGGCTCTGACGTTCATAGGCGACGGTAACCACTTACCATCAGGTGGGATGTATGTTCGTCTGCCTACAAGGGCAATAAGAAATTTGCTCAGAGAAAGAACGCTTCTGTCTACTCTCCGGTAAATCCATTGGTCGTCTTTTGGAACGCCCACAATAATAAATAGGGTGATGCAATTCTATACTCAAACCAACAGGCTAACACAACCTGTCTTCATCGTGTCAAAATCAATGTCTACTTCCATACAAATAATTTCAATTGTGAGGTTTTTTAGCATTCTATCCGGTTTTCTTAGAGATAATTAAATCTACTTTTACAGTTTTTCTCGTAATTATAATTAAAGCATAAAATTAAAAAAAATATTTCATATCGAAAAATACACGGTAGTTAGGACCATATTCAAATATCGACGAATGACAAACTAGTGTTATGTACCAATTAACAAAACGTCGGAAACGGTATAATCTTATATCTTTAAACAAGCAATTCTTGTATATTAATGTTTTTTTTTTTTTTATTGCCTTTGTAGGCATACGGCCCACCTGATGGTGAGTGGTTACCGTCGCCCATGGACTTCAATGTCTCCCTGTCTCGTATACCGGCCGCATAGCATCAAGAATCAAGCCTGCACAAGATAGCTTTTCTACAAGATTTCCTTGTGACACCTCCGCTTCAGTACACACAATGCATATGAAAGAGTTAATGTTGGGCTTTAGTGAACTATTCATGATAGATGATTCAAGTTCGATGAGATAAATCCGCACGCGCTTATCTTATATCTTTAAGCGAGAAATTCTTGTGTAATATATAATAATATAATCTGAATCTTGGCAACGGCTCTAACGATTTTCATAAAATTTAGTATACAGGGGATTTCGGGGGCGATAAATCGATCTAGCTACGATTTATTTTCAGAAAATGTTGTTTTATTCGTGTTTTCAATAATCAACTCTTCCTGACATCTATTGGCGAATAATAATACTATTCTTCTTAATTGAGGGAAACTAACCGCTTTAAAGACACAACAAGTCATCATCTAGTGACAATAATAAAGGCAAGATTAAACGTAAACGTATAACTTAATCTATAGAATCGACAGCAACAGTAATCTACATGTATTAAAAAAAAAATCCGCACGAGAATCTGCGTGATACGTAAAAATATTTATCCAAACAAACCACAGAGTACCCGGACTAGACAAACAAACTGAGCAATCTCTTTGAGTCCGTCCTCGATTCGGGAGCACTTAGCTGATTGCGTGCCGGACAAATGCAAACAAAACCGTGCCTTTTATTATAATACACAGTGTGTGCTGTACTGATTCGGTGGCTATCCGGAAATTTGAGATTACTACAGGTCCCGCAGTAGTCGAAATTCGACTATAATTAATTGGAATTGTAAGTTTGTACACTATTATGATTGTATTTTATACTTCTATAATCACAAATCTCGCCAAGGCTACACTATAAAAAATATTAACAAAGACAAAACAATATTCAATCTATTCTCAATTTGACAACCGACGTCAAGAACAAAAGTTTGACAATAAATAGTATGCATGCGTGTGTGCGTCAAATACATGGTATGTAGTGTGTGTAATGCTTTCTTTATTGATTTAATGTATCTTTTATGCATTATTTTAAAAAATATTAGCATTGTGCACTTCTTCTCTATATTCTCTATAAGTATGGAAAATTTCATACTCCTCCGTACGCGCAATTTTCGTAAAAAGGGATACAAAGTTTTTGCTTCACGTATTAATATATAGATTATAAGTTTGTACACTATTATGATTCTATTGTCAAAGACTATTTATTATACTTCTATAATCACAGATTTCGGACACGTTGGTTGGCAGTTTTCATATCGTCATAATATATTTCACTGGTGGTAGGACCTCTTGGGAGTCCGCACGGGTGGGTACCACCACCCCGCCTATTTCCGCCGTGAAGCAGTAATGCGTTTCGGTTCAAAGGGTGGGGTAGCCGTTGTAACTATACTGAGACCTTAGAACTTATATCTCGAGGTGGGTGGCGGATTTACGTTGTAGACGTCTATGTGCTCCAGTAACCACTTAACGCCAGGTGGGCTGTGAGCTCGTCCATCCATCTAAGCAATAAAAAAAATAAAAAAAATCTGACACCTACGGCCTGCTCATCGATGATAACAACTATAACAATTAATAGTGAACATAAAGCATAATAACTATTGACAGATTAAATTTAACTTAAAAATATCAGTTATGAGATTAGAATAGCTCGCCGCAAAAGCTTTCTTAGCGCATTTGACATTTTCAGACGTATTTAGCTAATCCGAAGCATTTTGCTATCGAGCAACACTTCCAGCCTCCGTAAAGGTAACTAATCATTAGGCAATATATAGAACTTATTATTGTCTTATAATTTACAATTAGTAATTTCATAATCAAGTAAATAATTGATTCATATTTCTTTATACTTATAATATTTTATTGGCGTCTATAGTTAAGATAAACAATGTTTAATATTATTACCTATTAAGTTTGTATTAAAATAGGTCAAGATGATTGTATAAATACCGGCGGTTAGAATATTTCTGGGGCATTCGTATTCTAACAGTCCTAACGTGTTACTAAAGAGAATACATTATTTCGTGTGGCTGTAAAATGTCTCAATTATCGCCGCCACCCTAATAATCCTTCTACAATTTACATGCAAATACGATATATGTACCATGCGGTTCACGGATTCTTCCAATATAGTAACCAAAAACAATGTAATCACTAACAAAATGACATTGAAATGATAGTATAAACGGCCGTCTGGTGTAGTGGTAAGTGACATGGTCACTACACAAGGGGGTCGCGGGTTCGAATCCCGCCAAGGGAAGATATTTGTATGATAAATATAAATGTCTTTCCAGGGTTATGGGTGTATATTAAATATTTATGTGTATTATAAAAATATTATATTTATTTCCGTTATTTGGTACTTGTAACACAAGTTCTTTACGAACTTAGCACGGGACCAGTTAACGTGGCGTGATTGTTAGTAAATATTAAAAAAAAAAAAAAGTTTTTTTTTTTTTATTGCTTAGATTGATGGAAGAGCTCACAGCCCACCTGATATTAAGTGGTTACTGGAACCTATAGACATCTACAACGTAAATGCGCCACCTACCTTGAGATATAAGTTCTAAGGTCTCAGTATAGTCACAACGGCTGTCCCACCCTTCAAACCGAAACGCATTACTGCTTCACGGCAGAAATAGGCGGGGCGGTGGTACCTACCCGTGCGGACTCGCAAGAGGTCCTACCACCAGTATATATATTAGTGGACGACTATTCGACCAGTCCTTTTGGAATGGAATACGCTTTGAGGCAAACATAGGCAAAATGTGACTCTAGAGAACGCCTTATTAAGCGTACCAACAGAAAAATTTGTTGAGTGTGGACAGATAATAGGGAGACATCAAGAGTTCCTCCAGGAAATCGAAGAAACGTCATCACGTTTGTCGTTAATTCACAGAAGTCGTCGTGGCCTAAAAGATAAGACGTCCGGTGCATTCGTATGTAGCGATGCAACCGAATGAAACCCCCTGTTTCTATATCACCTGCGTTCAGGCCTTAGATGAGACTGTTGAGTATAGGCCTACAGTACACAAGGGATTCACCGGAGCTTGAGTCCGCACAGGTAGGCACCACCACCCTGCCTATTTCTGCCGTGAAGCAGTAATGCGTTTCGGTTTGAAGGGTGGGGCAGCCGTTGTAACTATACTTGCGACCTTAAAACTTATATCTCAATTTGGGTGGCGTATTTACGTCATAGATATCTATGTGCTTCAGTAACCACTTAACACCAGACTGTGAGCTCGTCCGTCCATCTAAGCAATAAAAAATAAAAAAAATACATAGACTGTTCATATATCATTAAAATCACTTTGCTCAGAATCTTTTTCGTTCATCAAACGTCCCTAGCCACTAAGCCATTTAACTATAAAATAAAACGACCCCTGATAAATCTAAAAGCATTTCGTGCAATAAAATTGAGCTGTAAAACAAAAATTATTCCACACACCGACCGATTCCACTCACTGCTTCAACAAAGGGAGCTTTAGTGCAGCTTTTTTCCGTCGAAGCTAAGTGCTTTTACTGTTGAGAACTCAGAGAAAACATAGTGCACTCAAATGGAATGTTATTGCGGACATGGCCTAGTAGTCTAAAAGTCAGTCATTACTTTAAAGTTTCACAATACATTATGGTTATCGAGCAACACTTCCGGCCTTACATAATAAATGATTTACGAATGTGGTCTTGACGAAGGCTCTCCAAATCATATGTTTTTCAGTTGTCTTCG